GCTACTGCTGGAAGGCTTCCCACTGAGGAAACCGGCCCAGGTCAGATGAGCCCGCTGAGGTCAAGCAGAAGGGGGTGCTAGATTACCCCAAGGCAACAAGGAATCACAGAAACTGTTTTAGTCAGGGGGTAAATAACATTAAAAAACTCTCCAGAAGTAATGGACAAAATAAAGGTAGGAGACACTTTTGTTTTGCAGCCAAAAAAGTGGAAATCAGAGGCTCAGCTCCCAGCTCTGCCATTCCCTGGGTGGGTAGCCTAAGCTGAACTTCTCTAGACTTAGGCTTTTTATTTTTTTAAAGATTTATTTATTTATGCATGCAGAACTGGGGTACAGGCCAGAGGCTCAGGACTGTGAGAGGCTTCACCAGAGACAGAGTGGGGAGCAGAACAGGCAGATCGACAAAGCACACTGCTGAGGAGAGAAGCAGGGGGGCCAGGAGATGTCTGCAGAGACACTGGATCACCTCCGGGGCAGGGATCGAACTCATGCGGAAGTGGCTTTAGTGTCTTAGTGCTGTGCTTTAACCCTCTATGCCACCAGGGAGGGCCCTAGGCCTCAACTTTTTAATATATGACATAAAAATTATAATAGGATCTATTGTGTAGGATTACAATGAAACCTAACACAAAATTTATGAAAAGTGCTTAGTTAGTATAATGTTCTCACCTAAGCCCTCAATTCATTCACAGCCTTAAGAGAAAGCCACAGAAACCAGGAAGTATTTCCTATTTCCTAACTCAATAAATGTTTTCCCTGTCCCAGCACACAGACACAGTCTCTATTCCACAGTTCATAAAATAAATTTTATTTCATCCTTAACAACTGCCCAATGACAACTTTCACATTCCATATATGAAATCTGTTAGGAAGCTAAAAGGGGGCTCAAGGGGCCTCCCTGGTAGTGCAATGGGCTCAAGCACAGCACAATGAAGCTATCGTGACCCATATGGCATGGCAGACCTCTCCTGCTGCTCCCCTCAGCAGTGTATTTCAGTCAATCTACCTGTTCTGTCCCCACTCTGTCTCTGGTGAATCCTCTTACCCCCCGAACATCTGGCCTGTATTTATAAATAAATAAATCTTAAAAAAAAAAAAAAAGGAGTGGGGGGCTCAATTCTTGCACCATCGTACCATAATCTCACCACCCCAACCAGCAAGTCCCAGGACTGAACTGAAAGAACTGAAAAACATTTCAAGGAAATCTCTTCAAAGATCCCTTCTTTGTTGGCCCCATGAATTATCCTCTACACAATGGCACTGTGTTCTAGATCACTGGTTCCCAGTTTGAGCTAGCAGGAGAACAGTGTTGCTGCACGAGGCTCATAACTCAATAAAGGCTCCAGCATGCTCTATAAACTAAAAATAACGATGATTTCAAATTCTGTTCCGATTAATAAATTACAGATTTATTGTCAGACCTTACTGATGGATAGCAATGCTTGTCATTATATATTTTCTCAATCCACAGATGCTAAAAATACCATAGGAGAGTCCTTAATACCTTCTGACATTTTAAAGCAGAGTGACTGAATGTGATCCTTAGGGGGGAAAAACACAGAAAAAGCAGCAAAACAAATATACAGATCACCTGCCTGTGGCCAGTGTAGACTATGTGCCTATGTCTGAGATACTTTATGCTTTCAAAATCATTCAGTGAGTGAAGCTATTAAAATTAGTAGGAAGGTGCCAGAAATGGCTTTTTCTTTCGACTCCAAGATCATGGCAGAGATTTTATTGGCAAGAAAAACTCAAAATAGAAGATGCTAGCTTCCTTTCCCCTGTCCCCACAAGCAGATGGTATACAAGGAGAATCTTCTCTACATACAAATCCCAGAGTTTCTGTGCAGAGAGGAGACAACCTGGAGAGACATCAGAATGCAAACACGAGGCGTGTTCCTAGCGCGCCCAGGCAGTCCTTACCTGTCCGGCCGTTCAGGAGAATTGGCTTGCCCTCCAGCTCGCCTCTCATGGGCACCACAGTTATCTTATACTCTGTCCCGGGCTGCAGACCTGGAAACATACAGCCCACGCTGGGTGTCCATACGGCACTGGACACATCGTCTGCAGCACTGCCCTGCCCAAGCTTCCTCTTGTGAGAGGCGGAGGGGCAACATTTCTCACCTGAAGACTCCGTCATGCTGATAGAGGGGCAGGACCAGAGGGCCAGCTCCAGGGGGCTTTAGGGGTCAGGGTAGAAGGGCCCTACTGGATGAGATGATGCCCCCCAGAGCTCCCTGTCCTGTGTCCGGCCCTTGACATTTATTTCCCAATTTTTTTTTCAGCCCACGTTTTTTGCTCCCAATAATTCTTTTCCCTCCCAAGTTTTTGCTTCTCACTGCCATATTAACCTAACTTTCTTTTCCTTTTCCTTTCTCAAGTTTTTTCTGCTGTTATTTATCTATAGTAGCAATTGCTCCTGAAGGCACAGATACGCAGGCTCCAGTGGCAAAAGGCAGGCAAATAGCAGCATTTTGTCTCCACAGAGCTGAGACATCAAGACAGAACTCAGGAGTGAACAGCAGAGCAAGACCCAAAGGAGGTATACCATGAAGCTAATAAGCCTCAGGGGCCCGGCCTGCAGGGCCCTTCCCAGGCCATTGCTGAGCTGGTGTTCACAGCTGTGTATCACTCTTCTTAAGGGTCCTGAAAATGAAATTTGCTTCAAGAATGACCAAGTGCTGCAGGCCCGTTTCCGCAGCAGCTCTGATTCCTGGCTCTCAGCGGCCCTCACTCAGTCATCTGGGACAAGGGGCTTCCCCACCCAGGTCTCTGAGCACGGCAGCTGCTTCCTTGCAGAGTACAGAAAAAACTAGTTTTCTCAGCGTGCCTGTCTCTCTCTCTCACTGACACACAGTTCTTCCCAAAGGAATGTCTTTGTGCCATCAAGACCATTCTGAGACATAAACAAGGTCTGCGAGGACACTGAGAGAACATTCTAGAGTGTAAACTGTTAACAAGGGCTCTGAGATTCGGGGTCAGGGCTGAGACAGTGGAGAGGAGGCCAGGGCCTGCAGGGTAGGCTCATGGCTAGGAGTTTCCGGTCAGGGCTTACGGGCCCCAAGGGCCCCCTGTACATGCCTGGGCAGTGTGGACGCCAGTCTCCTCTGTGCACCTGTCCCAGCCTCCACATGTGCAGCAAACATCCCACAGCTCCAGTGTTAGCTCTTACCAGTGATGTCATATCGGCTTTTGGGGTCACTACTCTTGGGCACGGTGACCTCGGCCACCTCCTGCCCTGTCAGGGGGCCATACCGCAGCTTGTAGTAGTCCACCTGAGAAGGAGGGTTCTCCCACTCGACATCGAGGGAGTTTTCAGTTTTGTCTGTCACCCAAGCAGTGCCAACCACAGCAAGATCTAGGGCAGGGCAGGGAGGGCAGGAGAAAGCAGAGAAGAGGAAAGGTCGGCTACCAGGTCAGCTCCTGCTCTTGACACACAGGTGCAGCCTTCAGTCCCAACACAGGTAATACTTTAACAGGTATTTAGCACTCCCAGAAAGCCTCGCCCCTTGCCCCGGGTGTTCCCAGTCTGGCTGGCCAACCACTTGTCAGGGACATAGCGGTGAACTCAGTGATTCAAGGCCCCTGGGCTCTGAGTGTTTCTGATTCACCCTGTCAGGGAAAAGAACCTCGAGGAGCCTTTTCTCTGTAGTTTCCTCCCACCCACAGTCTTCCACCTGCCAGCCTCCAGGCTCTCCCTTCAAACACAGGAATTCCTTGAGGGAACACAGGTCAAAGGATGAATAATGAGAGTGATTCAAGGGTGATAGAAGGGGTTGGCAAGTGAAAAATTAGGGCCTTAATGAAAATGTTCGAGATTATTACTGCAGAAGTGTCTCTCTGGCTGAGGCTCCCCTGAGGAGCAAATAAGAATGGATTTAACTTGAATCTGATTAGACAGAAAGACAAACTTCACAGTTATAGAATTTTACAAGTCCCTGGGGAAAGAAGTCAAGAGAGGTTGCTCAGACTTTCAGAACAGATGTCTCTAAGCCATCCCTCTCCCTCCACCAAAAAGGACAAGCGGCTGGTGCTTCTACAAAAACATCACGTGCAAAAAAATCATCCATCTGGGTTTCCCTGGATCTCTCTGTAGGAGTTTAGGGCAAGATGGAGGCAACTCGTTTTTATCAGCATCTGGGACCGTGCCTGGCATTTAGTTGATGATCAATAAAATACACTGAGTGACGGAATGAATTGGAATTGCTCAGACCCTTGAAGGTCTAAGCTGCTCTACAAACTGTCATGAGAAAATATGACTTTCTAAAGAGTAAGAAGCAATGCTTGTCCTTCAAATATTTGATAGCATTTAGTGGAGACTCTGTTCCACCAGACCTACCCGGCTCTGTCTGTATCTGGATTATGACTTCTATAGGTCGTTAGCCAGGACCTTTGCACTCTCACTTCCACTTGGGTTCAGCCAGTGAAAGTCACCAGAAGATCAGAGGGTAGGAGAGAAAGTTCTGGCAACTGATTTTCTTCACTTCTTTCCCAGAGGGGCACAGTGTACTGCCGGCTTCCAAAAGCAACTCATCAGTCTTTTTTCTCCTACAGTTATATCTGGATTGTAGTAGTTGTGATTTTAAAACCCCAAACTAGGGCAATGAAAGAAAACATTAAAAATGGGGTGCCTTCTGGGACAACAGGGGTCTCTGCCTGCTTCTCACCTGTGGTGGCAAGTAGATGCTGTGGGCTGCTGGAAACATCCTTCTTCACGTTGTGCAGGGTGACCATATACTTGGTGCCAGGCAGCAAACCAGGAATCTCGTAGCTATGCTGCTCTTTGGGTACTTGGATCTGCTTCCCAGAGAGCTCCTTCCCCAAGGGGTGGTAGCTGAGGAGGTAGTGGTCCACCTCGCTGGAGGGCTCCCAGCTCACCAGCAGAGAATCCTCTGTGCTCTTGAGCAGCTGAAGGCCCTGGGGGGCAAACACTGCGTGCAGAGAGGGAACAGGCACCAGCCAGGTGAGGAGAGAGGCCCGGCATCATAACCAATGCTGTTCATGGAGTCCCTTAACACTGCCATGGGGTAGAGGGGAGGGGAGGATGCAGCACCTGTATAAGGTGCCGGTGTGGACAATCACCCCAGAGGGTGGGGTGGGATTAATAGGACCCCCTACACACACACACACACACACACACACACACACACTCACACACACACACTCACACAGAGCCATTAGATCACAAAGACCACTGGTTCTCAAATCTGCCACATTAGCAACACCTTTGAATTTGTTTAGAAATGCAAATTATTGCCACCCACCCCAGGCCTGCTGAATAAGACACCCTGGGGATGAGGGAGGGGGAGAGCAACAATTGTGTTTTAACAAATTTCCAGGGGACCCTGTTGTGACTCCGGGTGCAGCCCCCTACAACGACCAAGGTGCAGCTGATGGTTACATGGTGCCTTGGGGCCCCCCCCTGCAGGGAAAGAGGGGCTTCATGCAGGCCTCCACGCCTGTGGGCTCTCACCCTGCGCGCAGTCGGGGCCGGTGAAGCCCTCCTCGCAGTAACACTCGCCAGTGTCGCAGAAGCCGTGGCCACTACAGTCGCCGGGGCAGCGCTGCTCGCTGCAGTCCTCGGACGTGAAGTCCTGGTGGCACTGGCAGACGCCGCGCACACACACGCCCTGGCCGCTGCAGTTCTCGGGGCAGGGCGGGAAGCCGCAGTCCGGCCCCACGTAGGGCTCATCGCACAGGCAGTGCCCGTCCACGCAGCGCCCGTGACCGCTGCACGCCCCGGGGCAGGTGGGCCGCTCGCAGCGGGCGCCCTCCCAGCCCTGCTCGCAGCTGCAGCTGCGGGTTTCGGAGGAGAAGGTCCCGTGGCCATTGCAAGTGGGGCTTAGATCTGTGGGGGAGAAAGGAATGAGGGTTTGTAGGTCAGGTCGGGAACCTCTGCCTTGGAAACCCAAAGAGCAGGTGTCCAATTTCTGGGACCCTGCAGGGCTCTTGCTTGCAAAAGAGTAGGGCCTTTCTGTAGGAACTGGGGCTAAGCCCTTCATTTTGCAAACTGAGCCACAGTGACCTGCAAACTCTACAAAACTTTTCTCCTTTTCTGCCTGAAGGGCTATGTGGACCACCATTTATTTTCCCTCTTTGTCCCAACAGCTCATGTGAATTTCCCTGGTCCCCTGAACTCTAGATGGTGACTTTATTTAGTACTTTTCCAGGAAGGGGCCTTAATGTTCCAGCCTAGACATCGGCTGGCCAGCCAGCTTGCTGAGCCTGGAGAGCACTGGAGGGCAGCTCAGTGAGCCAGCTTGCCAGCCCTGCTCCTGCTTCTCGCGACACTCTCTTTCCTTCCTAAAAACACTTCCAGTGAGGAGACGCCAAAGGGCACTTCCACCTGTTTCATCCATCACAGTGTCCCTGGAGCCAACTGTCTGGTATACAGGAAAGAGTCTTTCCTTGCCATAGCTAATTCTGGCTTAAATATGTGTGCCGCTAATTGATAAAATGTCTCTACTGGGCAGTTAAAGAAAATTAAGGAATTTTCCCAAAGCCTGCAATTTAAAAGCAGCAGAACTGGGATTTGTTGTCAGTCCTACATGTAGCCAGTAGCTACATGACCTCTGATATTCCCTCACATCCCTTGCTTCCCCTTTCATTAGACTTGGGTCCTCAGGTAAAACAGCAACTGTAAACATTAGCCAGGAGTCTAGACTCTGAGTTCTGATTCCTCCCTGCTCTTCTTCAAAGGTGCTCAATGGAATTAGTGCTAATGAATAAATAGCAAAGACAAGGACCCCAGAGGAAATCTGAAGTGAGAGGTGGTAATGTACCAGGCGCAACCAAGTGCTTGTGAGGCTGGTAGAATACCCAGCACATAGAAGGTGCTCATTAAATGTTTGTTGAGGGCCCTCCCTGATGGCACAACAGGTTAGGACGTCGGAAAACTGCAAGCGAGCCACAGCCACTTCAGTGCGAGTTCGATTCCCAGCCCTGGAGGTGGTCCACATGGCGCAGCAGACCTCTCCTGTCTTACCCGCAGCTCCCCTTGGCAGTGTACTTGGTCAATCTGCCTGTCCTGCTCCCCACTCTGTCTCTGGTGAATCCTCTCACCGCCCCTGCACCTCTGGCCTGTACCCCAGTTCTGTATGCATAAATAAATAAACTTTTTAAAATAATTTGAAAAAATAAATGTTTGTTGAATGAATACCAGATGGTGAGCTCACCAGCAGCTCCTTGGCAACAGCGCTGGACGCCACACTGCTCCTTCAGCTCTGCTACCTCTTCCTCCAACTTTTTCATCCTGGCTAGGAGGTCCTGGACAAGGCCTGCCAGCTCACAGTCCTTCTGTGGCGTCTGCAGGCGAATGTTGTGCCTGAAGATGATGTTCTGTTCCTCGCCAGACTCCCCCGGGGCGAGGAGTGAATCCCCGTCATCACTGAGGGGCTGAGAGTCTGCCTCCACCTGGACCAAGGCAGACTTGGGCACGTCAATCTTGTAAGTGTGGCTGACGGTGACTTGTTGCTCCTTGTCGGTGCAACCTTGAGGCTTGAGAGAGGCTGGAGCTGAGGCCACCAGGAGGACAGAGCCAAGTAGGAGACCCAGGGGGAAGCAGAGCATCCCCCAGAGACCCATCCTTGGTGAGACAGGAAACAGACCCCCCCAGGAGGCCTGGATCTAGGGGAAAAAATGCAAAAGCAAGAGTTAAAGGAAATTGGCCTTCTGAATGAATTCTTTGAGTCCACAGGAAGTTGAGAAACTAGCAGAAAGATTTCAACCTGTATCCCACAGGATCCAAACTAAATTATTTTCTCACACATTGCACGATCCTGCTTCCTATCTTTGCTTATGTTATTCCCAATACCCTTCACTCCTGTAGTAATAACTCCATACTCATTACACTTTAATAAAAACAAGAACAGCTCTCATATTCAGGGCCTACTGTGTTCCAGGCTTTGATTCCCCCTAATTCCTAATCCTCACAGTAACTCTGGTGTTTTCCTCCCCATTAACAATGCCAATAATAATAGCCACACAGAGCATGTGCTCTGTGCCAGGCACTATTCTAAGTGTTCTGTCTGCTCTCTCCTTCAATCATTTACAGCAATTATACTGCTATTACTCCCATCTCATAGACAGGCAAACTGAGGCATAGCTCCCTTAACTGACTTGTCTCGAGGAGTGGCAGCATTGGATACCAGGAGATCTGGCCCCAGAGTCCATGCTGGGCATCACTATGCCATGTTACCTTGCACAGATGAGGGATTGAGCACCCGTGCCAGGACTATAGCCAGGAAGGATAAGCCTATATTCGGGCCACGGCCAGTGTCCTGCCCACCACCCCTGCTTACAGACCAGTGAGAGATCTGAATTTTAAATAAAAATGCCTTCCCCATGAAGTTGTCTCTCATGCCCCCAGCACCTTACCCCAACTGGAAACTAGCTCTCGGTCTACTAAGCCTTTGGAGAAACTTATTGGTCCCTCTATAGGTCTCATGACAGTCGACCTCATGTTAGGGTTACTCTTGCATAGACCGTCTCCCTGCAAGTTTGTAAGACTCTTACGGACAGGACTCAAGGCTGATTTCCTCAGGGGTCCCTCCCCAGGCAGATGCATGATCACAAAAGTCCATTAGCCAGGAGTCTAGATTCTGATTCGTGCTTAATGGGGTCAGAACTCAGAAACCTTTTGCTGCTTAGGCAGCTCAGTTTGCCAATCAGGCCAGGCTCCAGGCCAGAGCAGGACACTGGGATCTGCCTCTTCTGCCACCAGCAGGAAGAGATGTGGACCTTCACCACTGTCCATGTGCAGACTGTCCCTGTCCCCGGCCGCTCCCCTTAGTGGCCCACCTCTGATCTCAGCTGGAACGTTCGTTTTTCCCTTTTATAGAGATATGTTGGTTTGACAAGCTGTGTGCTTTGGGAATACAGCTTGACACTTCGCCATTAGTATATAGCACACCGGGCCTGCAGCCAGGGTCTGGTTTCTGTCCACCCTGCTCAAATCCACCCCTGCTCCCCATCCCATTCCCCCCACCACCACCCACACACACACTGACTTTCTTTGTGGTAACCACCGTTCTGCTGTCAGAATCTAAGCTTTGGTGTCGGTTTACTTTGTTTCTTTATATTCCACATGAGTGAAATTATATGGTGTTTGTCTCTCTCTGACTTAATTCACTTAGCATCATCTCCTCAAGACCCAGCCATGTTGCTACAAATGGCAGAATTGTGTCTTTATGGCTGAGGAGTTTCCGCTGGGGGTAGACCCCACATCTCAACCCACTCATCTATGGATGGGCACTTCGGTGGATTCCCTATCTCGGCAATCGTGAAATGACACGTTTTGTTCACTAACCAGACGCGTATGGCAAAGCACATACCTGGTTTGTGTCTCACGTTTACAATAAGTCCTTAAGAGAAACTGCAACTTTAGGTGAAATAACATAATGTCGTTTCATTTAGTGTCAGCCGGGATTGTGATTTTTCTCATCATATAAAGAAGTGAATTATTGGAGAGCCTCTGTCCTCACACAGTCATGAAACACACACCCCCGCCCCACTGGGCTATCATAGCTGATCTCCCCAAGAACCAGCTGCAGGGCCGCCTCTTGAGAATGGGCTTCTCTGACCCACTCAAGACTATACACATCTGTACAGGGACAGTCCTCTTCTGGTGCCAGTGCCCAGCAAAGCCAGGCTCTCCCTCCCCTTTATAAGCAGCAGCTACGGTGTTCTGGAGAGACAGAGCGGAGATGCGCCGGTGCCTGGCCTTGCAAAGACTACTCCTCTCCAGTTTTAATCTCCTCGTCTGTAAAATGGGAAGAGTGAGGCCTTCAAAGCAAGCTATGTGGAAAGCACCTAGAACACCACATGAAGCACATAATAAGTGCTCAACAAATGTTTTGAAGTCTGTTTTTAATCAGCCACTGAATATGATTTCCCTTTCCCACCCTTTTCACTGTGAATGATGACCTCAACAATGAAAAACACATCCACTATAAGTCGTTGGGTTTTCGTAAGGTATTATAAAGACCACAGTTGTGGACCCCCGACTTCCAAACTGCTCACAACCTCGAAGCCCCTCACCTGATGATACCTCTTTTTCAGTTCAGTAGTTAGAGTCAGCAGAAGGCCATTGAAAGGACTGACCTGGGGAGACTGGTTACTTTGCAGATCCAAAAAGGAAGATGTCTTCCTAGTCATTAACCTAAACTCCCATTCTGTGTAAGAGCTTTAACTTTGGAGAGCCATCACATATTTATTATGAGGAAATGATGAACACGGAGGGTGAAGGTAGAATTACTGTTAAAAATAACATCACAGGGCCCTCCCTGGTGGCACAACGGGTTACAAAGCACTATGAAGCTACCTTCAGCCACTACAGCACGAGTTCAATCCCTGCCCCGGAGGTGACCCATGTGGCGTGGCAGACCTCTCCTGACCCGCCCGCTGCTCCCCTCAGCAGTGTACTTTGTCAGTCTGCCTGTCCTGCTCCCCACTCTGTCTCTGGTGAAGCCTCTCACCTCCCCTGCACCTCTGGCCTGGACCCCAGTTCTTGTATGCATAAATAAATAAATCTTTAAAAAATATAATAATATCACAATAATGAAATGTTATTTGTTGAGTTACAGCTAGATACCTGGCACCAGCTCATGATTACGGAGCATCCTTTAATCTCATAACTGCTCTGTGAGCTAGGCGCTGCTTGCCTTCATCTGGAGGAAATCAGATCTGAAAAGCTGGGGTTGCCCAGCTAGCAGTGAGCACCCCAGGATTGGAAGCCAGGTCCATCTGACTGCAGACCTATGTCTGCTCTGCTCTGCTCTGCTCTGCTCACAATGACATTCTGATGCTATAGTCCTGCTATGCCTGTCCCTATGATTTCCCCCTTTGGTGAGATGTCCTGTGTATTGTTTCCTGGGACCAGGAACTACCCTCCTGTGAACTAAACAGATCAACACCAAACAGATTTGTTCTTAATGGCAGCCCTTTGCACCACTTCCCTGTTCTTGCCTCTTCCTATTATTCAAAGCATGCATTACTAACAGCAGTAATAATAGTTCACCTTTTCGGAGCCCTACCATGTCTCAGACACTGGATTCATCACCTTGCAGGTGTAAAGTGTAGTCAGTGACATTTCTTGTTGCTGTGGGATTTGGCAGCAAGAATAATAAGTGAGTACACATGTGAAGGACAGGTGCTGTACTGGAAGCTTTTGGTGGGTCGGGAGGGCATGGTGTGAGGGGCAAACAGAAGGGGGAAGGTACAGAGACCAGGCCTGTCTCTGGCCTGGAGAACTTCAGGGGTAGGAGCTTGTCAGAAACAGGCGGCATGGCAGAGAAGGGAAGGAGCCAAGGTGGAAAAGGTCTGCACCTCAGAACTTGGGATACCAAGGATATGTAAGTCTCGACACAGGTCAAATAGATACACAGAAGGGAGGCAGCTGTGGGCCAGAGGTGCGTGTAGGCTCACCACCCCACAGAAGAGCATTGTCCCAGTGGGCAAGCTACAGGAAGTCTCCTGAGGGTAGAACAGGGAGTCTCTGAAGAACCCCCAAAGGGTTCTCACCAGAGGGGCCAGCACTGGGAGCAGCAGCCATAATATGGGTGACTAGGAACCAGCAAGGACTTAGCATCCCTGCAGAATACAAGTACCTTTTCCCCTTCTCTTCTGATCTCAACCCTCACCTGCTCAAGCAGTGACTCCAGGAAGCCAGAAGCCAGGAAGTGGAGGAGGGGAGCTCTGGGCAGCTATAGTCCCTGTGCTCACTCTCCAGTGTGGAGTCCAGCGTCAGGCTGGAGCTGGGCAAAAAGAAAAGATGCCGAATGGAGACTGTGGCTCTGGGTCTGTCCTTCACCAAAGGTCTCTCTTCTAATACCAAATGACCAGAGAAGCTCTGAAATCTGCTGGAGATTTTTCTCAGAGGATGCGAGTAGTCAGGAGAGGCAGCAGACTGATTTGGAAAGAGGTGTAGGATACAAGTGATGATATTTCACAACTGCTGTCTTTAGAAGTTGAGCCCGGGGCCCTCCCTGGTGGTGCAAAGGGTTAGAGCGCAGCACTGCAAGCTAGCTGCAGTTGCTTCAGTGTGAGTTCGATCCCCACCCCGGAGGTTGCTCCCCTTGGGTGGCCGTCTTTTCCCGACCCGCCCGCTGCTCCCCTCAACAGTGTACTTCATCAATCTGCCTGTTCTGCTCCCCACTCTGTCTCTGGTGAGTCCTCTCACCGCCCCTGCACCTCTGGCTTATACCCCAGTTCTGTATGCATAAATAAATAAATCCTAAAAAAAAAAAAGTTGATCCCAATGAGAAAATAGTCACACACACTCCAAGTCCTCCCCTAATGAGAGCTGAGGCTCAGTAACACCAACCCCTGATTATGCAGGAGGGGTCAAGGTCACAGATCCAGACCCAGGTTTAGAGTTAACCCCTGCGTGCCCTGCTGTCCCCACAAGCCACACAGATGGATCGCAAAGGCTCCTACTAAGAATTGAGCAGCACATGACTCCCCGCTTCCCCCAAACTCCTTCCTAGGCAAAGCTAGCGCTTAAAAGGCAGACTTCCGACTTCTTTGCCGCTTCTACCCGCCAACCCCGGTCCACGGCTCACTGTGCTCCCAGCCGTAATTGGAGC